CAGCAACGAACCGGAGATCGTACACAAGCCCGCTGGCAATCGCAGCCTGAATGCAACCGCCATAGGATGCGGCCGGCCATGCCGCTGGCCCAGCTCTGTGATCCGATGCCCAAGGAGGCGCCCTCATCGCGAGGCCTCATTGCCGAGTGGAAGCCTGATCAAGAAGAATGCCGAAAACGGGACGGTTACTGAGGCGGTCATCAAAGAGGACGAACGGCAAAGGGTAGAATAAGCTGCTTATTAACAAATTAATGTAAACAATTCCAAAATTTCAAATAAACATATTTAATATATTTTGTTTTTGTTCTTTTAATTTAAAATTGTAAAAGATTTTTATTGTTGTTGTAAAAGAGTTGTTTGTTGTTGTTGTAGGCAAAACCCAGTCGGTCAGATTCAGTATAAAATTTTTAATTTTTGGGTCTGAAGTACCAGGCGAACAGAAACCGCAGCAAGCTGAATAATTTTAGTGCAAGCAGCGACGATCAGCTGACATGGAGGCATCTTAAGCAGTATAAAATTGTAAATTTTTGGGTCTGAAGTACCAGGCGAACAGAAACCGCAGCAAGCTGAATAATTTTAGTGCAAGAGCTTTCGATAACTGCTGAAATGCAACCATGTGCAGCTTTGACTATCGGTTTCTGCCAGCTTTACAGAGCTTTCACTAAAACAGCTGACATGGAGCCATCTACAAGAGTGACAATCAGCTGACATGGAGCCATGTACAGCACTGACAGTTAGGACATAGAGGCATGTGCAGCAGTGACAATCAGCTGACATGGAGGCATCTTAAGCAGAGACGATCAGCTGACATGGAGGCATCTTAAGCAGCGACGATCAGCTGACATGGAGCCATGTATAGCACTGACAGTTAGGACATGGAGGCATGCGCAGCAGTGACAATCAGCTGACATGGAGGCATCTTAAGCAGAGACGATCAGCTGACATGGAGGCATCTTAAGCAGCGACGATCAGCTGACATGGAGCCATGTATAGCACTGACAGTTAGGACATGGAGGCATGTGCAGCAGTGACAATCAGCTGACATGGAGGCATCTTAAGCAGCGACGGTCAGCTGACATGGAGCCATGTATAGCACTGACAGTTAGGACATGGAGGCATGTGCAGCAGTGACAATCAGCTGACATGGAGGCATCTTAAGCAGCGACGGTCAACTGACATGAAGCCATGTGCAGCAGCGACATTCACCTGATGACGTGCAGCTATGTGCCGCTGTGACGACGCTATGTGCCGCTGTTACGATGAGGTGATGACATTCAGCCATAAAACTGATTATAGAGTCCCCTACTCCTACTTGGCCACCACTGACCCGCTCAACGTCGTCCTTTGTGAATTTTGGGGTAGGGGGTGCGGGTGTTGCAGCTCCACTTGCGGTGCTGGCTTGTCGTTTAATTGCTCAAACTGCGTTCTGTTTGGGGATTATCCGTTTGCTCACTTCATAAACACAGCCAGGCAGGAAATAGATGGTGGCTTCAAGATCTTGATGACATGTAGCCATGTGCCGCGATCGAAATATCGTCAACGAAATAAAGCGATATACAACTTACTGTAGTGTGACCAACTCATTTTTACCTAAATATATATCGAAGTGTGCCCGCTTTGACTTTCTGCTCGTAGCCTGCAACCATGGGCTGCAGCGACGATCGACTGATGACGTGCAGCCATAAAAAAGCATTATATATGGAGCCTGCTTAGTTCCTTCCTCCTATTGGGCCACCACTGACCCGCCGTACGTCGTTCATTGAGAATTTTGGGCTGGGGGGTGCGGGTGGTACAGCTCCACTTGCGGTGCTGGCTTGTCGTTTAATTGCTCAAGCCACGCTCTGCTTGGGAATTATCCGTTTGCTCACTTCATAAACAGCCAGGCAGGTAATAGATGGTGGCTTCAAGATCTTGACATGTAGCCATGTGCCGCGATCGAAATATCATCAGAATACAACTTATTGTAGTTTGACCAACTCACTTTCACTCCTTTTTAATCGAAGTGTGACCGCTTTGACTTTCAACTAGTTGCCTGCGACCATGTGCAGCTTTGACTATCGGCTTCTGACATGCAGCTTTAGAAAGCTTTGACTAAAACAGCTAACATGGAGCCATGTACAGCAGTGACAACCAGCTGACATGGAGCCATGTGCAGCAATGACGTTCAGCTGATGACGTGCAGCTATATGCCGCTGTGACGATGCTATTTGCCGCTGTGACGATCGGCGAATGACATGCAGCCATAAAAAAACCATTATAAATAGAGCATGCTTTGTCACCCCTTCTATTGGGCCACCACTGACCCGCCGTACGTCATCCTCTGTGAATTGGGGGTGGGGGTGTGGGTGGTGCAGCTCCACTGGCGGCAGCGATTCCCATTTATTTTTCATGAATTAATTTAATTGCTCAAGCCGCGCTCTGTTTGGTTTCGTTTGCTCACTTCATAAACACAGTCAGGCAGAAAATAGATGGTGGCTCTAAGACCTTGATGACATGTAGCCACGTGCCGCGATCGAAATACCTCCATCGAAATAAAACTTATTGTAGTGTGACCAACTAATTTTTCGCTACTTTTGTATCGAAGTGTGACCGCTTTGGCTTTCAGCTGGTTGCCTGCAACCATGTATGGCTTCGACTATCGGTTTCTGGCATGCAGCTTTAGAGAGCTTTGACTAAAAGCAGTGACAATAAGCTGACATGGAGCCCTGTGCAGCAGTGGCAATCAGCTGATATGAAGCCCTGCGCAGCAGTGACCATCACCTGACATGGAGGCATCTTTAGCAGCGACGATCAGCTAACATGTAGCCATAAAAAATCATTATAAATAGACCCTGCATAGTCACCCTATCTATTAACATATTTAACACATTTTTTAGTAGAGTGACCAGCTGAAGTTCACTACTTTAATATCGAAAAGTGACTGTCATATGGATTTAAAAAATGCGAATATTTTAAGTCAGTCAACATGCTCAACAATGTTATCGACATGACGTATACGCAGTGGTGTACGCCTGATACCCACAGTGTCACCCAAATTCTCCAACACCGATTGAAGTCGCGTTCGTTTTCGTATTTGGTTTAACAAAAAAAAAGTATTAAAAAAAAGGAACACTATGAATAAAAAAATGCACACGCTCTTAAAGGAGCTTTAAAATGCCGTGCCTGGCATTGGCGAGCCAAGGCTGCGCGTCCTGGCGGCGCCACCAGCCAAATGTGCCGCACGACACAGTCACCTACCCCTGGCCCTTAGCCCTGCCACTCCCCTCCCCTAAATAAATTGGAAAGAAAAAACTTAGAATAAAGAGAGGCAAATAGACAGCTCCAATAAATGCTTAAAATGAAGCAGAAAGCAATGAAATGGAATTGTCACGAAACGAGAAGAAGAACTAGAAGGGAAAGGAAAGGCAAGGAAAGCGGCAATTTAAAAAGAAAGCCAATGGGAGAGACACACAAAAAAAAGAGGTCAAAAATAAAGACCGACAAGATGAGAAATGGAACAAAAATTAACTTGAGCGACCAAAAATTTGTTTATGACTTTTTTATGTCTCTGTGTGTATACTTGTGTGTGTGTGTGTGTGTGGGAAATAATCGTAGAAAATCCTGGCATGTGGCTCTGTGTGTGTGTGTGTGTGTGTGTGTGTGTGGTTGGGCGCGAAACGACAAAAATAAATCAATAAAAACGCTCGGCAAACACTGCTTTTCTTTCTTTTTGTGTTTCCCTCGCGTGTAACGAATAATTCTATACAATTCTATGGCCATAGCTGCTGTTCATTTGTTGTTATTATTTCTTTTATTTTATTTTTGTTTTCTGTGGCAGCCGCTGCCCGTTTTTATTATTTCCCAACTGGCAACTCTAATAAATGTAATTGTAGTTGCTTTTCAGTTCTCTGCCGACGACCCCCAGCTGCCCCATACCTAATTCTGAAACTAATATTGGCGAAATGGAATACAAGCCAAGTCAAGCTAGCAATTTATAGTTTTAGTTGGTTTTCTGGTTGAAATTTAAAGGAAGTTTCAGTTATATGAAAGAAGGAACTGACGTTTAAAATGTGAATTACATTTATTATGGCTGTTGAAATACTCAACACATAATCGCCGTTTGATGGACATAAATAATATATATAATATATGTATATTAAATTTTTGTCTCCCCTATATACCATTCATGTCCCCATGCAAAAAGGACAGACATATGTCACTTTGATTGCATTTAATTGACCAGCAAAATAAAACCAAATACATATTTCTGCTTTAAACCAAGGTTCCTATATTCTTTTTTATTGGATCCTTTTTTTTGGCTCGATTGATTGACTCAACTGAATCTGGTTAATTGTGCTACCCACACACACTCGCACGCACAGGCCAGCCTGACAACGATTATGTTAATGAAGTGGGTGTGTGTTAGTGTGTACTCTGCATAAATTGATAATAATAATAAATATTGTATGCAAATAGCGCTAATTTGTAAATCGGAAGTCAACTGACTGTAAACTGGAAACGCAAAATATTTAATGGAAACCGAAAACAGAAAAAACATGTCGTCGTGGGTGTGTGGAACTGCTATTCAGATTCGATTCGAGTGACTACGGCTCAATACAATGGATGATTCAGATGGGATATCGATTACCAATTACCAATTACCGATTACCGTTTACCGATTACCGATTAACGATACGATACGAGAGCAAATCTTAAGTCAAAAGGCAACACAATAGAAATGGAAAGTGATCATTATAGGTTGATATAGATGGTGATACTGTGATACTGATACAAACACTAAGCTTAGCACCGAAGAAGATTGATGTTTTATAAGAAATAGGTCACCGGTAATAATTATAAAATCAATGTGTTATAGATATCTTCTTCTGGAGCTTAGCCAGCTGTTATTTGGGTGTGGTGAATGTGATATACGTTTGGATTAATGGTTAATTATAATTCAATTGTAATATAAGGTTTTAAATATATATATATATATATATATATAGGTTTATATAACTCACGCTAAAGCTATTACTACGAAGTCCAGCCAATTCCATGCATCTCTAAGATACGTAAACGGGCATAAAATGAAACCTCGTGCCATCACTTTAACAGCTGATTCAAATGTGTAGATTCCGGTGAATATCACCCTAAAAACGAATTGAATTTCGAAATGCAATTTGTTTGTTGTCTCTTCTTTTCTTCACTTATTCATCGGTTTGTATGCTCTTCAAATGAGTTTTGTAATGTTTTGTAAATTTGGTTGGACGACTGCCTGATATGATGGGTCACCAAAACGCAAAACGTCTTTAAAAAAATGAACTAAAACCAATGACATAAATTTTCCAAGAAAGGATACATATGTGTACGATTATTATATGATAAATCAAAAGCATTTAATTGGATTAGTTAAAAATAGCTTTGAAAGGAAACGTAAGACAGAAAGACGCGCTTAAAAGTAGACTACACTGCACTCATCTCCTCTCCATAGCGGCTCTCTCCTCTGGGCTGGGCTGCATCTTGAGACCGCTTCCGTTTCCGTTTGCGTTTGGTATCCATGACTTGGCTCCAGTTTTCTGGGTTATTTCACTTCCAAGGGTGTTAAGTAAATGTATTCTTTAAGACTAACTTACATGATTAAGCTAACTGTTCGCATTATAATCACTGGCCCTTTTTGCCTATAGGTCTACGAGTGCCGAGATAGTATCTCAATCTGTGATTCACCAGTTTCTGTTGCCTGTACGGTTGCTGTTGGTCTTTTGACCTTGCACACAAACACATCAACAATGCCAAGATGGATTGCATAAGTATTGAGTGTACTTATTTGTTCTACTAATTTTGTTAAAAGGATTAAAGAAACTCAGAGGAGGAAACCTTCCCCATTTTTACCTACTTGCTCTTTATTATAATTATATTTTTATTTAATTTTCCAGGTGTACAGTTTCTAAATCGTTCCGATTGAAATGCCTGTAGAACTGCGCACATCAAAAGCACACCTGGCATGCACTCGACCGCCCTAATTACTGAACTGCAGATGCAGATAGACAATTGTCAATGTCAATAATGGTTAATACTTAACGGCCAACTGCTTGATGCCGCCTCTGTTCGTGTGGGTGGAAAGGGAAGCTGTTCGTGTGGGTGTCAGATCAATAGGCCGACCTTCGGCCAAATGCTGTCGCCTCCTCTTCCATATCCCCTGAACCGCTGAACCCGTGCCCCTTTGCCTGGTTAGCCATTTGACAGATTTCAGGCAGCGACGCTCCAGTGACACCCTTTGCTAGTTGCCATTATTGTTGGCAATTGTTTAGTGATGTCAGTTAAAATATATTTATATTTAAGATTTAAGAAGATCAACAGATCTTTTAAGAAAAGGAAAAAGTGTTCTGTAGCTCAAATAATTTCTATAAAGAAGTTATGCCACCACTATGTGAAATATATATTAATGCTAATTTTTGGTTATTTTATTCTTTTCTTTTGGCTTGAAAAGAGGTCATTTAGATCTGTCCGGAAGAAGGACGAGGAGCACGACAGCACTGGCTGTGTTGGTTGCCTGGTCGTCTCATTTGGGCACCACAACTAGTTCAAAGTCGCTCACAGTTCGCAACTCACAGACTCGAAGCTGCCAGGCTGGAAGTGGAACGAGAATTGGGAATGCGAGGATGCAACGTGCGGCGATGGGGCAAGGGGAGGGGATGCGTCTGACCTAGGCCCCAATGCCAGTGAAGGACACTTGAGTTGTGTTTTAATTGCAGGTATTATGTCTTTCTCAGGGGCCCGCACAAGTGTGACCCCAGTGCAGCGCAAAAAAATAGGAGGTTGGAGCTAGTTTAGTTTAATTTAAAGTTCATTTTCATTAAATTTTTATAATTTAAATGTAATTTTCTTGAAGTTTTTTAACTATAGCAATATGGTTTATTTAGTTAAATCTGTATAGCTGGGCTTAAAACAGATCTGGCTTTTAACTTGTTCTTGTAGCAATTTGTCTTAGCAAAGAGATAGCTTTAAGTACATTTTATTCCAAGAAATTTAAGGCGACTCTTTATAGTATTTCTCTCTGTGTGCTTAGGCCCTGCCAACATTCTCAGCGGGCTATGGCGACCCACATTACTCGCTCCTTGCAGCAAGCCTTATGCCTCATTTCGCCCACCTCCCTAGTCCTTTCTCTGGCTTTCTTCTCCTTTTACTTTCTTTCTTGGAACGTGAGTATGTGTGTGCGTGGGTGTGCGTGTCTCAAGTTATGCGGCACCTGCTGTTGCGACCCCTTCCCCCCTTCGTTTGAAGGCGTCCTACCCTTAGCCAAGTTCAAGTGGCACTTCCGCTTGCACTTCCATCTGCCAGCTGCCATCTGCTGTTTCACTCTATGTCGCTGTGTCGCCCCGGTTTCCGTCTCTCTCTATTTCTCCCTCTCTTTCCCTTTCCCTTTCTCTCTCTCTTTTTCTCTCTCTCTCTCTTTCTCTCTAGGGTGCTCAATTCTGATACCAAATCTGCGACAATAACTTTGATATCAGCTAGAAAAATGACGTAACTCTTTTCACTTTACACTTGCTCGGCGCTGGACGCTCTCTAGCAAGAATATTTGCTCGCTTTTTTATATTTTTTTTGTTGTTTTCTAGATTCGCTAAAAGTTACCTATGTACAACGCTACGTATACGCAATATTTATTCTAGGGCAAACACACACACACCCCCTGAGTTATATATGTATATAGGGTTGTGTGCGTGCCGGATGATTAACGACTTCTATATAGATGAGCACTAATCGAATCGAGAGTCTAACTATGAATACAAATCGATTTGGTTCACTATATAGTGTGAAAAGAGCGAGAGACCGGAATGAAGTTATATACGAAAAATATACTAAACAAATCGAACTATCCATCAAGTCTTCTAGGAATCTATATATTCTACTATTATAATCAGTCCCCAGAGCGATCTGCGAACAGTACTTTGTAACCCTATATAAACTATAAAGTTCTATGGATTATATACGATCTTAACTATGGATGGCAATGGGAGTACATAAAATTTACAAGGATTTCGTGTATATAAAATGATCAAAACTTTACTAAATACGGCTAAGGATCGATATATAACGGGGGCTCTGTTTACAATACAAAGTTATACTTAATGACTACTTAAACAATTTACCCAAGTTCTATTGAGATCTATGGATAAAGTCATACATAATATTGGCTTACACTAGTTATTTAGTTATATGTTCTCTAGGATATATCTTTCTAAACTAAAAACTACAGTATCGAGTATACGGAGCAAAGTTACTTTTATTACAAATGATATATCGATTGAATTCAATTCGAAACGTGAACAAACCAAAACCAACCAGTTCGGAATAGTCGGTTCTCGATCGGATCGGGATGGCCTAGCGAGGCAATTTGTACAGTATTTTTTACAGGAATGATTCGTTTTTTTGGAATGGATCTGAAATTGATCTATGATCGAACGATCGAACAGAGTTACGCGGCAAAGAAACGAGCACGGTAATGAGAATATATAGTTATATATACTGAATGTTTTAAATGCGAGAGTGGAGTGTATATTATACAAGAGGAGCGATCAAAGTGGTTCCATTCGCACCACTACGCCATAATTGATATATATTTTAAAATGCATCATGATGTCGGAATTGAGGAGGTTCTCTCTTACTGGAAATGGTTTTAACTACCTAAAACTGAACGTTACTTTACTTTACTTTAATTTGGTTTTTATTGACTTGACCACCTTTACCTTTGCCTGCGTAGGACATTGGGGTTATCATTGGGAATTAGATAAATAAATATATATATATGTATATATGTATAGTACAAGTTTACATATTTCGATTGCACTTTGGTTTGTTACTGTTTTCTTTTCGGTTTCGTTTTCATTTTTTCGTTTGGCTTTTGCGGAAATCATAGAGGAAAGAAATTCAAGTTTCACCTAAATACACATCTGTATAAATATCGAAATATCGAAAAGGTTACATTTATAGTATAATAATAATAATATCGTATAATATTGTTTAAATATAAGTAGATAATATAGCATATCCGTATATAGAAGATCTCTATATACTTATATGTCTAGTACAGAGTATATATTAGATTGTAAAAGATTCCATAAATAAATAAACGTATCGAAAACGAAAAGAATTAATTGATTAAATCAAATTTTAGCTAAGGGTTGAAAGGTAACCAAATATCAATAGTGTGTGTTCAGTCGGGGGTTACGTGTGGTCGGTTATATAGGACACATTGGCATAATGAATCTCTTGAGATGTACTTACTCAGTGGACTCAACCGTGGGCGTTGTCGGCATTATCATCAGGATGCAGTTGACGAGAATTGTGGTGATGATGAATAGGGAAAATAATGGATGCACTAGAATGTAAATGGCCACACGACGTATCGGATTGAATGGATCGAGCAGCCACATTGCTTTTGATGCAGAAAAGCGAAAAATATCTTTTCCTTTGCTTACAACTACGAATGTCTGGAAGAAGAGGGGTCAAGTACGGGTCATTTGGGGTTATCCCGCCCATATACATACATACATACTATATGCTTAAATATATATATGTGTAGAAAATATAAAGATCTGAGGACTTACCAGTACATTGCTGTAGTAGGGATCGATATCCTCGAGAGGAGTGGAGGCCAATTCCGGCGGGAAGCTGCCCTGCAATCGAACAGGTATTGGTACACCCTGTTCAAGTGTAGGATCCGGTTGTGGACCTTCATCCTCGTCCTCGTCATCATATCGGATCTGTGAGGAGCGTGGATCGTATATCGTGGAGCGGTGTGCGAAGAGAACAGAAGGAATTGGGCGAAATATGGATTAGCAGGGACCTTCGTACAATTACTCTCGTCTATCAGTCGCGATTCGCGGCTGAGCTGATGTTCAACTCAACGCGGAATCGAAAGGATCGGTGGAAATCATAAGACAGAAAGTGAGCGGCGCACAAATCAACATCAATTTCAAGCGCTTCTTTTTTGTTTTATTGTTTTTTCCTTTTCTTTGGAATTTTAAAAGAATTTTGTGATGGTTTCAGTTTTGCATATCAGAGATTTATCTATATATATATAGTGAGTGGCTTATAGTAACAAGTATCTATTATATATATACAGGGGATATAATGGACAGATAGATATAAAGAGATAGCGAGAGATACAGCTCGAGCTGAGGAATAAGGAGTTCGGGGTTGGGTTTTGGTTGTGGTAAGAGCAGTTATTATTTTGGTATGCAAAAGTAACACCAAGTCGGTAATACCAATAAGTATAACCTGGAATATATATATTTATATATTTTTTAAGGCGCTTCGATTCATTTTCATTGGGTTCAATAACAGAAGCAGAAGAAGAAAGGTGGTAAACGAAACTGAAATTGAAACGGAAACTCAAATTCAAAACGGAAATGCTTATGGTAACGGAAACGGGAAACTAAGGTAACCAGTGTTAGACAACGTTCCAACGTTGTGTGAGTGTAAGTGTATGTGTTTGCAGTAGAGAGAGAGATAAACTAAAGAACAGTGTCCGAAGTTGCTAAAAAACATTAACTACAGTGTGCATAACTACACTAGAACTAAGCTACTTTTCAGGAAGGAATCCAAACGGAAAGGGAGAAGGTGGAAAGGAAAGGATATATGGCGAGCAGGACAACTCAATGTCATTCAGCTCAATTTTGTGTGATTTCTTTCATTTTTGTTTTCCCTGTGAGTTTGGCCAGACACAAGCATTATTCTTGCATGTCGTGGCAAATTTTAATTGCTTTGCCATGCATATTGAATGACAATATTTTTTGGCCCAGTGACGAAGACTGCCTTGGGTTCCGTTTCATACCGTTTCCAGCTCAAATAAAAAAAAGCTCATTCCATCCCACATCCACATTTCCATAGCCCATATATACCATAGCCGCCTCCCTATCGATTTCACCCAGACGTGGGCGGGTACGGTTTTTACTTTCCATGGACGCAGGACACATGCAATGCCAAAAGCAAAAGTAAAGAGCCAAAAGCACAAGCACACAAAAACTCTAACGTCACTCTCGCCAGCACAACTACCAACACACTACACACAGAGTATGTAGAGACAGAGAGAGAGAGAGAGAGTGTGTGTGTGTGAAGAAGGAAAAACTAGAGGGAAAAATTCCATAATAGTTGGCTTGGCGTGACAATTAGATTGTGCCTGTGTCTGTGTGTGTATGTGTTGTGAGGGGGCGCTGGTAACTCGGTGAGTATGTATTTTGTGGAGTCCAAAGCTTTGACGCAATTGCGGCAACCACCCTCCCTCCAGGACACGGACATGGACGCGAACACGGTCGCAGGACCAGGCCCCATTGCCGGACCCGGAGTTGTCCTGTGCGCTCGCCTTTTAAAACAGCAATAACAACAAGAGCTCTCAGGTCTATATTTAAACTAATAAAAGGCGAACCGCAGCGCAGGAGGAGTAGGAGGAGGAGGGTGTGCATGTTGATAGTTAGGTTTGGCCATAACAGCCGGTTCTGACCGGACATAAGGACATAAGGACATAAGGACATGAGCGCTTCCTCGCATTCGCGCTTTCGCTGTTCCCTTGGCTGATTACAAATTTATGACGCATTCGGGGAACGGAACGATGTCTGAGGCAAAAATAGGTTAGTTAACCTGCGGTTAGCAACAAATGGTAGAACTTGTGACGGACAGAAGAGACACTGCCAAGGACATGTGCCGGTAGTATTGAAGTAGTATCACAATGAGGGGATATATTAAAAATGGGATATTATCGATATAAAGATAAAAGTATAGCAGGACTTAAACTAGATAAAACGATAGTCAAGGGATTTGCAGTACCAACGACTAGTATAGAGTATAAATTAATTTGTAGGAATTCAGGGATGTATATCAGGATATTATTGAGTAGGGATCCGGTTTGCTTTTTAAGGAATTAAGCGGAAAAGTATTTGAAGCATCATTAGAGAGTAAATAACAGACCGGACTTGCTGCCAGGGATCTAAAGGAGGACTCAGGAAGATTTCTCATGCGGCATGCAAACTACACAACTACAGCTACAAGGACATGCACACACTAACGTACTCGCACGCACTCGCTTTATATTTATTCACACACACCCAGACACACCTTTACAGATTTAACAGGAGAAAGCGGTAAGTTGCAGGCGATTTATCTTAAGGGGTATCGGAGATGGGGTTCTACAGTTTTATCTGAAGCCATACTACAAATCAATGTTCAAACCGAAACGAAACAGAAACTAATAAACCTCTTAATAATGTTCGTCTAACGCTAGGAAAGAAAACTAACAAATGGCTGCCGGCAGGCATCGCAATATTGAAGGATCTTCTTGGTAGAAGTGAGACACCAAATACTTGGACATGCTCAGCATTTAAAGTAACCTCTGTTCTTCGTAAATGAATATTAAGGATCATATCAACAATTTGCGTGGCGTACCGGCAAACCTGGCTCCTCCCTGGAGTGGGGTCGTCCTTGGTTGAGAGTTAAGCGACACTTACTCGATATATTTGGATATACCCGACTTACAGTACGCGGTGGGAACTCTGGTAGGTTCTGGTCGGTCGTTGGTGGTGACTCATCTATTTTGCCTCGACTTCGCCAGCGACTTTGACTTGGACTTGTCCCCTCCTCCACAGTGTGAATTTTTTATTGGTTCGTTAACTTACGAGCACGGGGATATATGATGCGTATATGTGGGCTTTAATGTATCGTTTCGTACGGGTCGGAAGTCAGGGGTCAGACTACAGGTTGAAGTTGGTTGCCGAGGCAATGCAAACATTTGCGCGTTGGGAAATCTTTGCGTATTGCTCGCGGCGTTTAAATCATCAGACATCTGCATAGTATGGTCAAAAGAACGAACCCTGATCCTGAGCTACTACAACCTAGGAATCCCTAAACTCAAAACACTCTTTAAAAAGAAAAGGAACTGAAACTTAAGATAGAACTGGAACTGTTACTGGTTGGGTTGTGGCTGTGTTGTTACAATATTTACCTATATATATCTTGTTGCATTGAGAATAGAAAATATTACACAGGCACGCACACAAATTACTCAATTATTACACATAGATACGGGTACACACACACAGATACAGTATGTTAGATACGGTTACAAAGATACAAAGATAGTATTTTAGGAATTCGGTTTGTTTCGCTTTCTGACACTGCAGCCCTTGATTGGCCATTAATTCTATCAGAGTGTGTGTTTGTTTGTTGTGTGTGTAAATGAGTAGATTTCATTCCCGCCTCGGGGTCAGGACATTCACTAAGCTCCTTAGCCATATGTATGGGACTAGGGACTCGGGTCCTAAGGCTCCACCACCACCTTTATAAGTAATTGAGGCCCCCGGGCAGTGGCAATATAACTATTGCTGAGGGGCAAATAGTGGCAAAAGGAATATTTATACACTTGTGTTTGTTCTCAAGTATTATATTAAATAGCAAAAGTTAGACAAAAAATATATATATGTAAAAAAGGCAAAAGCTGGCTCTTCTATTCGGAACAGCCGAAGCCTGGAGAGATCCTTGCAATGGTCTTAGTAATGCTTTAAATAGCACTATACTACTTTTCTTAGGATCTGTTAAAATAAAAAACAATATATATAAAGAGAAGCAGATAAACAGATATTCAGGAAGCCCTGAGGTTCTCACAAAAGGTGTCCAAAAGGATGCAACAGTGTTTCAAGCATTAATTGTATGCCTTTGCATTCCGAAGCTTAAAAAGCAGTGAAGGATTCGTTTACAACCCTATAAACCCAATTTTTTTTTTTCAAAAAATTACGAAATTTAAAAAAATAATTGAAAGGGGTTAAATCGTTAAAATTGTCTGAAATGAATACAAAAATTGAATTAAAAATTTTAAATGCAGATTTTTTAATCTAATAAAAGCTAGCATAGAACAAGTTCCCGTTTGGAAATTAATCCATTTTTGGCTTAGTTATGACAATTTACATGATCAAACTTTAAGGTTTTTCGACACTTTTTTCCTTTTTGTTTTGTTTAAGTTTGTTCGACTTTCAGACTGACATTTACCTATTCACAATAAAATTCCAAATTTACTATTATATTTTAATAGAAAAGACATTGATCTAGAGGCTGTAAGCATTTTATATTCATTAAGGACCTTCAGCAAGGACTCTGCGGCGGCTGAGAAAAGCGGAGAAGTTGAAAGCATATTTCCAGCTGCATTGGTTTTCTTTGGGCTATTTACAGGTGAGCTTTTATTATTATTATTATTGATTTTTGTTTTGTTTAATATTGTATTCAAGCGTCCCTGGGCAGTGGGAAAATACATATATATATTTATATATATATAGTTAATACATAAATAAGGCAAAGATATAGAACGAGTATACGAATAGACATAGATATGGACAAGCTACGTTTTTTGGGGGGGGGAGCAAATACAAAGTACAAGAAATATATGTATATATATATATATATAGATAGTGGATACTGGTTACAGATTACTTGGATACTTGGATATACATATATCCGAGCCTGGGGCACACCAGAAACCAAAACTGGGCTAAGTGGCATGAATTGGTATTGATATTGGCATTGGCTGGCTTGACTTTGGTTGCACAGAAAGAAACGAGGGGTACCAACAACAATGCAAAATAATGGCAGAACGCAAAAAATTGTTTCGGCTAAACTTAACGAAAATTATAAACAAAATTCAAAGATTTGTGGCAATAAAGTCTTAACAAAAAATCAATAAAATACAACTTAAAGAAACACACAGAAAACTTTTCCTTCGATTGAGATTCTCTCTCTATATATATATAGGTGTATATAGATATATGTGTGTGTGTGTGTGTGGGAAGGGGATATTTTTTATATCGGTGGGTGTTTTTTAACATTTGTTGTGTTTCTTTTTTTTTGTGGGTTTTGTTTTTCTGAGCAAAATCTTACTTCTTTTTGTTTTTTCTTGCGACCATATTGCGGCTGAAAGAAGATTTGGATTTGGTATTTGGTTTTAGGGCATTCATTACGAGCATTTATCAAAGTTCAAGTAGTAAAAAGTAGCGTAGTAGAGGAGTTTGTGAAGGATATATGTTCATGTTCGATTTTTGATATTTTTTGTTGTTAGTTTTCGTTAGTTGCATTTCGCATTTTGCAAGCGCCGAATTTGCATTTGTCATTCATATTCGTAATAAGTTTTATACACATATATTATTTTCATTGTTCAGTATTTGTATTTTTTTGTTATAGTTTTTGGATCCAGACAGCGGCGGGGCACAAAAGATTCGTTGAGAGCGAGAGAGAGAGCGTTCAAAAAGTTCAAAAAGAGAAGAAGTTGTAAATGAAACGGAAGAGAGTACACGAAAGAAAAAGCAAACGGTAGAATGTGGTTATGTAGGCGAGCAGATTTAAATGTCGGGTCAAATAGTCTATATATGGATATATATATAATTATTATATTGATAGACTGAGAATGCACTTTTTCGCCTCACTTTCGATATCGTTTTTGTTAAATGCGAGGATGTTTTTATTATTTACTGATTCGATTTGATTGATTCTAACCGTTTGTGAGTGTGGCGCGGTGGTGTGTGTGTGTGTGCACAGATAAAAGAGAAAAAGATATTGACAGATACAGCGATGGAGAAAGACAGAAGTTGGGCGATAAAAGGGGGGCGATAAAAGGGGGACGGTTCTTTAAGAAGGTAGACAGAGACAAGGACAGTGTCTGTGTGGGTGTGTGATAGGTGACAGCAGTTTATGAAAAATGCTCTTTGAGATGGTTTTTACAGCGATTTCATATCAGCCAGCTAGCAGTCACGATCGCTTGGGCGGCCATCTTCCAACATCTTCCTTGCTTCCTGTTTGTAGAGCGATTTCATATCAGTCAGCTAGCAGTCATGATCACTTGGGCAGCCATCTTCCATGCTTCCTATTTGTACAGCGATTTCATATCATCCAGCTAGCAGTCCCGATCACTTGGGCGGCCATCTTCCAACTTCTTCCCTGCTTCCTGTTTCTAGTAGTTTCATAGCAGGCAGCTCAATTGCTGTTTTCCTAGCAGCCAGCTTTCGATCTTTAGTGACTGCCAGCTATGAATGCTGTGATATTCCTTTTTTTTGAGCTTTTAAACAATTCATGTCTTTGTTTATACAATATAGTAGTGCTTGTTTGATCAAATATCGCAAACATTTTTCTTTAAACCAGCTGATCTTTGCCTTGGCTTTTTTGTAGCCATTATTTTAACACTTCAGTAGATGATTTCGACTTGATAATGGACACTGAGTTTTAAGTATTGAGTTTGTAGTTTAGAGTTTTGAATATTGACTGGCACTAATGAGATACAATGCAGTTAGCTCAACTACAGTTGGCTTTATACACAAACGAGTTGGCTATTTACAGAAGATTTCGTGAAACTGAGAGTGTGTGCTAAGACAAAGGAGACATGGTCAAGGACATAGACATGGACATGGACATGGACCTGGACTATACCCAGAGATCGCTGGTCAAATCAAATTGAAATAAAACCGAATGGAACTAAGGAAATGTAACTGAAAAAGATTTTTAGCCTTCAACGGGTACAAAATATACTATAGGATATATAATTATACGACAAAGATAAAATTTAAATTGTTGTTATTTTGGGACAGGGAGTTGCTGGCATTGTAAATGAAATGTTTGATACGAATTAATACGGAAAAATTGAGTAGATAATCGATTACGATACACAATTAGAACACATTACGAAGCCAATGGGTTACAGAATACACAGTTCTTACTCTCAAATAGTTTTTGAAAAAAACAATTAAACAAACCAACAAACGAACGAACATACAACGATTATGGCAGGAAAGAAATTTATCAGATTACAGATTCGATACGATAGCAATACGATATATGGTACGATCTTGGTACGCACGTAAGAGCATAAGGAGTGGTACGGGGAGTGCCTTTGGGAAATTTGTTATGCTTAAATACACAATACGATTACTAAACAAACAAAATCAGAAATCAATTTAATGTTCTTTTTGGTCTCATTTACGTTTTTTTGGAATTTTGTTGGAACTAAACGGAATAACGAAACCAAAGATCAAAAGAAAAATGGATGGACTTGCGCTGTATGTATTGTACTTTTGTTTTAAGGACTTGAGTTCGAATGGGGTTTTTTCTAGCTACGTTGAAAACAAAGACATGTACGACTTTACGAGTTGGGAAATAAGTGGTGAGTTGTGATAGCAAATATGTTACTAGAGATTACAGTTAAGGAAAACAGTCGGCAGTTGACAGAAGGAGAGTTTGACAGTTGACGAAGTTGGCAGAGTACAGTGTACAGTTAACAGTTTACAGTTTAGAGTTCACAGTTGACAGTTGACATAGAGTTGAGAATTACAGAGGGTCAAGTTGTGGGGTCAGACAGCGATGGCTTGTGTGTTCAGAGCTTAGAGTTTCGATTTGGATGATGGCAGGGGTCAAGCACGGTGACAGAGGTATTAGCATGGCATGGATGGCTATGAAGGCATTTACAGCAGATGATAATATATGTAAGTTATGGTAGATGATTTATACGGATAGATGCAGACATAGATAGAGACATTCGTTATACAGATACGTAACCGGAGGAATTGTAAGTGTTGGAATGACTGCTGATGAGTGTCTGTCACTCAATATGCGATATGCTATTTGCAATATTCGATATTGGTTTCGGGTAAACATGTATGTTGATGGTTAGTTAGTAGAATATATATTTGAGTATAAATATATATATAAGTATATTATATTTGTAAAATAGACGTTCAGGCTTAGGTTGAAGCACGAACAAAAGCGCACATTAGCGGCGGCAGTTAACGGCTGTCGGTCATCACTGATCGCTGCCATTCGATCGATTGACAGCGATCAGTGATCAGCGAACGGCTTCAACCGCATTTGGCATTCGATCTCAATTGGAAGAATTCAATTCACTTAGACGAAGAGAGAGAAGAGAGAAATACATATACGGATATACGAATATACGGATACAAAAAGTACAGCGGAGCAGTAGTAGAGTAAGGCACACAAAATCGATAGGCATTTTCAACATTCAGCTAGAAATAATTACCACCTCTCCCTCGGCTCTCTTTCTTTCCAGCTCCTTCTGCTTTTCATGTTCTGCGGCAATGCGTTGTTCGATTTGCACCAATGATTCGCGGGTAAAGGGACGGAACAAACTGCGTTCTTCCTCAGATATCGAGTCGGAATCTTCTGTCATTGTCTATGCGGCCAACGATGAGAGCCTTAGATTTCCAAGGCCTGTAAATAAAAAAGATAAAGCACACTTAATAAAAGAACATTCAAAAGGTTCTAAAACTAATAATTACCATAAGCTTAACTATAATTTAAGCACTTTTCAAACTTATTTTTAATGAAAGAAGACATTATAACTGTCATTTTATTACGCTAGCACATATTTCAAAGCTCACAGCCAGCTCTTTGTCTGTAATTAAATTACTTATATGCTCATCCAATTTGAGTTTACATTAGTTTCATGAAAATTTATCTCGACAACAACTATCAGAACATGTGACACAAAGTTGCAATTTAATTATACCCTAGCAGGGTATTATAATTTTAGACAAAAGCTTGTAAGGATGTAAAGGACCCCTTTTCGACCCTATAAATCATATATATTCTTGATCAGCATCAACAGGGGAATCAATCTTGGCATGTCAGGGAGAAAAATTTAAAAGGGGTTACATCGTTAAAATTGTCAAAAATCGATTTAAAAAAAATGGAATTTTTAAGAATTAGAAATTGAGCAAGAGGATTTATACATATACACCGTAAAAACTAACATAGAAACGCTTTTCGAATTAAAATTAAAGCATTTATAGCTAACTTACGAATTTTTTACACTTTGATTTGTCGAAAAAATTGTTGGAAAAAATATATAAATTTAAGCTTAGTAATGATAAATTTCCTATTTTATTCCATAATCAATCAATCACTTACAGACTGCAAGGGTGTATAATCTTCGGCTACCCGAAGTTATTTTCCTTTCTTGTTTTATTTAAGTTTTCAAGTCAATTAGGTCAACGTGCAAAATCAACAGAATTAAAATATGAGTTTTATGCAATCAAATTTTGGGATGACAAGTAAAGTTCTGCTGTCAAAAGTTCATTGAGCATTGCAGCTGATTGCAATTATATTGTTTAATTGACCTTTATCCATATTGATTTAGAATTCAATAGAATGAACAAGAAAATTTGAATACAAGTTGAATAAATTAAGTGGTCCCATAATTATGTGTAAAACAGGAACAAAAAAAAATGGGTAAACGGGAATTGTACGCTGAATTGTTACTCAATTACATATGGTTTGTTTTTTATTCAGTATAATTATTTTCAGGTGAATGCAATCAATTTTAAAACGTATTTTTTGTTAGCTTTCAACTCAATTTCAATGTAATTCAATCATTACTTATTTATTTATTACTTAATCAATATATATTTATATTTAATAAATACTTACATGAGGCACATGGATGTCGCCTGCTACATTAAAACTACAACTATATCCGAGGCGCCATGTTCGATTAGCGCCCGCCGCTTAGCACAATGCTGCAAGTAAATTAAAAAATACATTTTAAATTAGTATTAGGCATCACTTAAATCATGAATATTTGTAGAAACCAAAGACCTAGGGGAACCCAGCGAGCATTGATCCCAGATCCAAGCCAGGTAGTAAGCCCAATGACTGACTAATTGGATTATTGCAGACGGCGATTCGCATTAAATGAAATGCAATCAAAAGTAAAATGCACCACGAAACACACAACAAATAAATGGCCAATCAATAAAAGCACACAACGACCAATGTATATACTATACATTTATATACATATATTTGAAGCATTTACAAATTCGGAGTCTGAATTCGGAATGGATTCCAATTTCGATTCCGTTTCGGATTTAGATTTCAATATAGGGCTTATATAAGCAGCCTCCGCTAAGGTCAAAGCACTCTTTTTCCATTTGCCAATCTGAGTGTGTGTGTGTGTTAGTGTTGCTTTTTCGGCTCGAATGTGTGTGTGTGTATCAAGCATAAAAGTAGGTCAGTTCGATATTTCGCCACTCACACACACACACAGAGCACTCTCCTTCATAAAGCATAGAAGCACAGCGCTCACACAAACGCTCTTATGCGTCAATATGAGCATATATTTCTTCTGTGTCAGTGTGTGCGTGCGTCTGTTTCATTCATGGCAACTCAAAGCAACTCGCAGAAATTCCAACTTTATTTTGTTTGCCGAATTAATTTGCCCAGGCAATCGTGATGACTCATGCAGAAAAAGAAAGGCAGAGCAAAAAAACTAAAAAGGAAAATATACAAACGGAATTTGTGTCAATATGCAAATTACGCTCAAATACACACACACATTTCCAGCTGGAGTTGATCATAAAAAGGAAGCGAATCAAACCGCAAAATTAAAATCGATTATTGAATATGGCTAGAAACCTGTATTCAATTAAATTCTAGCACATGGAAAGGCATACAAGAAATTAAATAAAAAAATAATTTATAAATATATTGAAAAAATAAAATCAAAAACAAAAAACCACAAAAGAAAACCCAAAGAAAACCAGAAAGAGAGAGAGAGCGAGGAAAAACAACAACAATAAAACTGAACGAAGTTCGCATGTTGTTAGTCAATGAATTTTGCATGCTCAAAGAGCGAGAAATTGAGGCTAAAGAGCGGGCAGGAACAGGACCTCTCTTTTCACCTCTCTCTCTCTCACATGCGCCGAGAGAGGCCTTCCGCCTTGTAGTCCCCGACTACAGCAATGATACCGGACCACGGACCACTACAACCTACAGACTTACAGACTATATGGAACCATCAAAAAGCCGCCCTCTTCGCGCGCCTCGGCCCTCACTGAAAGTTTGCCCTCCAAAAGCCAGCAAAAGGTTGTAGCCGAAATAACCGAGCAGCGACAACAAGCCCAGCCAGCCAGAGACCATGACTGAGGCAGTGGCATCCAAAACAAGAGGAGGCCTTTTTTGGGCTCAAAATGGGGCGTGCCAGGAGCTGTGAGTAGCGGGGAATACCCCATTAATAGTCTCAGGCTTGGGGCCTGGTTAACAGTGATTTTCACCAGGCCAAGAAAATGGCAAAAGAAAACGGGCATGACATAATCGAGCCAAGTTCATCAAGTCGCCCATTTCTCAGTTCACTCCCACGTGATTTAGTTACTGATTCGGATTTAGCTTTCTAATTGATTTGTACTTGCATTTCTCACCATGCCTGAAGCCTGCCCACATAAGTATGCTAAGAAAAATTTAACTCCATCTTTCGGAATTGAGTTGCACACTTGAGGCATAATTACTTGATTCTGCTTTAAAAATAAGTCATCAAAACCAGAAATAAATTAGCTCTACTGAAATCCGTTGCAATTCCACATTCACATTCCAAGAAATTGCAGTTTCCTGATACTTATTTCTAAAGCTAGTACTTATGTAAATGCCGCGAAAACAACAAATTATGCTTTTTTTGTACGCCTTTAAGGGATTTTTAATCTTTTCAAGTTTGTACGTAATTTTATATAAAACAAGAATCCATATTTTTCGAAAATATTATTTGACCATTTTTTCAATAAATCAAAGTTTAAAAAACTCATAACTAAGCAAAAAATACAGGTATTTTAATTCGGAAAGCGCTTCTATATTAGTTTTTACTGTGTTAATTAATCTGCATACTTATTTACAATTTAAAGAAATTCCAATTTTAGCCAATTTTTTTTTTTAATTTAACGATTTAACCCTTATCTTTTTTTCAAAAAATTGAAAAAAAAAATTTACTCCTTAAGATGGCTAGATAAATTATCCTATAGATGCTGATAAAGAATATATGTACATATATACTTTATAGGGTCGGAAATTATTCCTTCACACCGCCTCAAGCTTCTGACTGAAATTGGAATACTCTGCAATTTTATTTAATTTTAAGATTATAACTATTATTTTAAAATAGATTTCCTTCCTTCTATCAGCTAATTATAGGAGCCTGGAAACTTGTAAGCTAATTATTTCACGGCGAAAATTAAAATATAATAAAAATAAAAAATTACCTAAGAGATTAAATTAAATGAAGAAAACATTAAATAAAACCCTTAAAAGAAACAAACAAGCAATCGAACGAATCCGATTTAATGGATTATTTTGCCATTAAAAAAGTCAAATGTATAATTTTTTAATACCTATGCCAAAGGAATCGATTGTTGCATTAATTTCTCAGCAGTATATTTATAAAAAAATATAAAATTAAAATATATATTTATAAACTATATATTATAAACTATTAAAATGAAATCGATTACAAGGTTCTTCCCCCACACTTACCGTTAATCGATGTGTATCGATATTGTGCTTCGCTGCTCGCTCTATCCGCTGCTGTTCTTATTGTTGTTGCAATTGTGTTTGTTGCTGCTGTTGTTGCTTTTGTTGTTGTTGTTGGTGCTTTGGCTTTTTATTGCTGTAATTTTTATTTATTTTTATGCTGCTGCTAAGAACTTTTGTTGTTGCTGCTGCTGGTTGCTGTTGTTAACTACTGTAGCTGTTGCTGTTACTGCTGCTGATGTTGTTATTGTTGTAGCTCACACATTTACATGCACCAACACACACGCGACGCACTCACACACATATATGTATATGGCATATATGTATATCTATATATTTATTACGGAGACGAAGACGAATAAAGTTGAAGCGGTAAGAACAAGTAGAAGATGAATTTGCTTGGTTTTTTTGTTTTGTTTTATTTTGCGTTTTATTTTTTGCTTTGATTTTTATGCATTAATTTATTTGTTAGCATTTGCTTGCTGCTGTATTAGTATTGGTATTATTATTGTGTGTGTTTTGGGTTGAATTATTCGGGGTATCTTTGGGTTGGTTTTCGGATGTTTGCAGGACAACCAAGACGACGACGCGACGTGTTGCCAAAAATTCTCATCAAACGTTGCGTTTTGTTCCCAGAGCAGTTTCGGTATTATTATTATTTAAATGTTGCTGTATTATATGTTTGGTATTATTATTAATATTATTATTTTGTATTTTGTTGGTTGTATTATTATTAGTGTTTCGATTTTGGGCTTTTGTTTTCGGGTTTCCGGTTCTCGGTTTGTCTTTCGCTATTATAATTGCGTATTATTGTTAATATTATCAAATTGTTATTATTTATTATTTGTGTTCTCTGTTGCTGTTTTAGTTTCAATTTCGCCAGCGTCGCCTGCGAAAAGCGAACAATTTGGTAAGGAAATTGGTTGAAAATGTGGGCAAAAGAAATGGAGTGAAATTGGTATTTTGAAACTAGAGCAAGTGCTTCTCTCTATTTTATATTTTAATTATTTATCACGTTGTTGTCTTTTTGCTTTCTTTGATAGGTTTACTTGTTTCAGCACTTGTTTAATTTATTTTTGGTTTCTAATTATTCGTTTTATATTTATCGTTTATTTAGGGTACTTAAGCGATTAATTTGTACTTTTTCACGCACGCACACACACACTGGCTGACTGGGCAGCTCTCACTCTCACTCTTGAGTTAACAGAAAAAAACAAGGCAGCTTTTAACACAGCAAAAAAATAGGAGTAGTAGCAGAGCAGAGCACTTGTTTTGTTTTATTATATTTAATGTAGGTTTATGCAACGTTTGCGCGCACGTGAATTGCAGAGCCAGTTTCAAACAAAATAAGTTCCTTATAAATAAAATAAATGCCAACAACTAGGTGAGAGAACGAGTGCCGCTGCCATCGCTCTTTTCCTCTCCCGCAGTGAAAACTCCATTTTGGTTTTTTTGGCGAAGGCTGTGCCGTGCAGCAGCTGTGTGCTTCGCCGAGACTTCCGTTATTCCGTTAGTTCGTTATACCGAATTCGCCGCAACCGAAGTAGAAAAAAAAACGCCAAAGAAGTGGCACATGTGTGTGTGTGTGTAAGGCAAAGCAAAGACTCGTTGTCAATACAAGTTTTGTTGTGCCACTTTGTCCCCCCCTTTCGCCATCTCTCCCTGCACCCTACACCGTCCGCATTTCGCTTTTCGTCTTTCGCCGTTTGCTATCCATTCGCCTTTGTGACTTTTTCTATTTTTAGGTCATCAAGTTGATGCCTTTCTCGATTCTCCTCGGTGCTCTACACACTCTACTCTAAACACAACCGACAATCTCTCTACACACTGGTGCAACAGTGGGCCATTATTTTTCGGGCACTTGGCACCAGTTGGCCTGGCCAAAAAAGCAACTGCGTCCATAACTTATGAGTGCCAACAACTGCTGCCTTAAATATAGAACAACAGTTATAATCACAAATCATGCTGCCTGACCCGGTTTCCGAAAAAAAGCCCGCACTTGGACAGCGACCAATCGATTCCCCCGTTATCCCCCGTTGGGGATTTCAGATTTTCGATACCGATAAAGTCCAAAACAAATTCCTAACCAAAAACGGCAGCCGAGCTATTAGGGAACTAACAAAAGTTGAAAGACCATTGTTTTTGGGAATTTAATAAGAGCGTAGTACTATTTCCCCATCAAATTGTAACTGTCTCAC